TTGAAGAAATAAATAAATAATGGTAAAAATATAAAATTAAAATAAATGGTAAGTTTATTAAAATAAAATTGAATAAAATCTTAAAAAGTATAATTATAAAAAAAAATTTAATTGAGTTTTTTCTTTTTTTACAAGCAAAATATTTCCTGAATTTAGCTAAATTGGTAGGATAAGTTAAGAAATTATTTTTGTTACATAATAAAAAAAATAATAATTGATTATTTGAATTAATATTCTAAAAATGCAATTTTCTTTAATTAATGCAAGTAAAAAAAATATTTTTAGATTTTGCTGGTAAGTGAGCATAATCTAAAAATTATTTTTTACTAAAAAAATATTTATTTAAATATTAATAAAAAATAAAAAGAAAAATATTTTTTAAAATAAATCCCTTAATTATTACAAATATATATTTTTTGATTTCACCCAAAAATTGAGATAATTCAAAAATTATTTTTACTAAATAAAGATTTATTTAAATAATAAAAGAAAAATAATAACAAAAACAAGAAAAATAATCATAATAAAAATTAATTAAATATTTAATTAAATCTCCTAATTATCATCAATTAAAAATAGTTTTATTTAGGATCTGGTTAGAAAGTTAAAATGATTTTAAAATCCATTTAAAATTTTTAGGATTTTGTTGAAGAGTTGTGATAATTTTAAAATCAATTTTAATAAATAAATAAAATCTCCTATGATGAAATTTCAAAAATTTTGTGAACAGTCAATTTTTTTGAAATAGTTTCTAAATAAAGATTTTTTATAATTACAGCAAAGTGTTGAAAAATTTATAAAATAAGAAGATAATAATAATATTAACTTCACAACAAAAAATTTTTTTCATAAATAAATTTTAGGAAATTAAATGTAAATATAAAAAAGATAATATCGTCAAAATTAAAGAATAATACATGTTTAATTAGTACCGTTCTTCGAACGAGCGATGTGAGAGTACTAATACCTTCATCACTCATAATTATACTCACAAACTTTACCCTGATTTTACAGACCTAAAAGTCTTTTAATAAATCTTAATTAATTTTAAGATTTTTATTAAATGATGATATTTTTAGGTGGTCAATCACATCTTACAAAAAAAATTGATGACAACTGTATATTTTCATCAAATCTAGAGATTGAGTCCTTCAAACGAAAAATCATTATGACAATACTTAAAATAAAACTATTTATTATTTTTTATATTAATATTTTCAAATATTTAAAATAATATTACTATTCTTAAAATATTTTTTATTAATATTACAATAATAATATTTATTATTAAAATATTTATATTTTATATTGAAAGTAGCTATTATTAATTCATAACAAAATTTTTTTATTTATATTTATTATTAAATTTGTCATATAAATACCATAATGAATAAACATAAAATTATACATTTTAAACTAATAAATAATAGGAAAGTATTAAAATATTCATATCAAGAAAATAATTTATTATACTATTTAACATTAATTATTAAAATAATAAAATATTATTATATATGTTATTATTTATTATTAACATAATAATATAATATTATTTATTATTGAAATATTAAAAACATTTATGTTTAATAATATATAAAATTAAAATATCAAAAGACTTTTAATGCTAATATCTTAATTTTTTAATTAAAATTAAATAAAAATTTTTATTAATATAATAATATTTCAAGTCGAATCAAATTAAGTTTGAATTTAAAATATTATATTCAAAGTCTTAATTGATTATAATTATAACAATATTTAATATTAAAATATTAAAAGACTTTTAATATTAATATTTTAATTTTTTAAATAAAATTAAATAAAAATATTATTTATTAATATAATAATATTTGGGTTAGGTTAAATCAAGTTTGAACTTAAAAAATAATGTACAAGGTTTGGCTTAAATAAAATTATACCCAAATACATTGATAAATAATTAGAGCACTTATTAATTTTAAAAATGATATGATAATACGAGTCGAAAATTATATGAAAAAAATATAAAAGTAACACAATTTTTCTTATACAAAAAAGATATAAACATGACACAATTGAAAATTGATAAAAATCAAATATGAATTTGATAAATATATATATGTGTTTTATGTTTGACGTATCAATATAAATTATGATACAATAATTTTTGTATTTTATAATTGTTTAACATAACACAGATACAACATAAATACATAAATTACTAAATTTAGCTGTAACTTTCTTTTTCTACCAAAAAATCTTAGTCCAAATAACAATAACCATTGAGTGTTAATTTAAAATCCCTTTCAAACTTTTTTTTTTCTTTAAAGTAATATGTTTGACTAGATTATATTGAAATCAAGAAGGTTTTTTTTTTTTTTTTTTACAACCCAGGCTTGGTTTAGCAGTTTAACTTCTTAAAAGAGAGCTAAAATTAAATAATTGAATTTCTTCTCTTCTTTAGACTTTGTCCAATGTATAAAAAAAACAAATGTTTTTTTTTTTTTCATAATTGTAACAGTCTGATGGAGATACAAAAGCTTATTTGTTCCATACATTTTTAAAAGAAATCAAAGGAATGTACCATTAATTGCCTTTTCCCCATAATATAAGGAATTATAATTAAGGCTTCGTTAATTAGTTTATCTTACCATACAACAATTTCCAAATTGTCATTCAAGGATTATTAATTACTCGTATATTTGCTTGGAATTGCACTTGTATTTCTCTGACAAATGGGTTTGAAAATTGAAATTAAGTACATTGATGTTTCAACCATCAATTTTTTTTTTCTGTAATTTTATAATTTCTCATTTTATTTTATATTTTGATAATTGTTGACACAAAACCTTCACGACCACCAACAAAATAATTTTCTTTTTATACTTGAAACATCATGATTTGAATTAATCTTATTAAAATTAAAAGTAAAATTAATATTTTATTAACAAATCACATCTGGAATGAATATAATAAAAAATTATATAATATGTTATTAAAATTAATCTTATTAAAATTAATAAGATTTCTGGAATGAATCTTATTAATCTTATTAAACTAATGTAATGAGATACTATGTTTCTGGAATGAATATAATTTTATTAAAAAATTAATCTTATTAAAAAAATCTGGAATGAATATAATAAGATTAATAAAATTAATCTTATTAAAATTAAAAGTAAAATTAATATAAACTAAATATTAGTTTATTACTTTCTATGGGCATTATATAATATGTTACATTAATTGTAAGATATAACATAAAAGTTTTCTCCTAAAAATTTATCCAATATATATCATGAAATGGAAGATATGGTCTAAAATAATTACAAAGTTTTAATTTCAATTAGACACAAGGATAAAATTGAGAGTAAATAAAAATTTCGATAAATTTTATATAATTTTTAATTATAATTGACTAATTATATTTCAATAATAGTAGGTAAAAAGGTTATAATTTATGACTAAAATATTAACTAAATCAGATGAAAGATTTCTGAAATTGACAAGGATTGAGGTAATTATAGAATTAAAGAGGTTACATTCATAGTATGACGAATTAATTACATTCACGTACTGTTTCTCAGTTATGGTTTTAAATTTTTGAAGTTCTAAGTTAAATTTTTATTTTACGTGGATTTGATTCAATTTTAGGTTAAAATTATCTTGTAATGTTAAGATTATATTATTTATAATTATTAAATTATAGTTAATTAATTATAATTTAAAATGGTATAAGATCTAGTAATGAATTTTTACATATCTTTTTATTATGATTGGACAAATGTAGTATTAAAGTAAAAAGAATTGTAACCGAAATGTTTTCAGTAATGTTTTGATTTATTGATTAATTTATTTATTTGATTATTTAGTGATTTTGTCATATATAAATTTAATACTTGATTATAATTAAAGAGGTTACATTCATAGTATGACGAATTAATTACATTCACGTACTGTTTCTCAGTTATGGTTTTAAATTTTTGAAGTTCTAAGTTAAATTTTTATTTTACGTGGATTTGATTCAATTTTAGGTTAAAATTATCTTGTAATGTTATAAATTTAATTATTAACTACAGTTAATTATAATTTAAAATGGTATAGGATCTAGTAATGAATTTTTACATATCTTTTTATTATGATTGGACAAATGTAGTATTAAAGTAAAAAGAATTGTAACCGAAATGTTTTCAGTAATGTTTTGATTTGTTGATTAATTTATTTATTTGATTATTTAGTGATTTTGTTATATATAAATTTAATATTTGATTATAATTAAAATTTATATTTATAACTAAAAAAAAAGGTTTTTCCCTTATGGAGTGCTTATGTATAGATATTTATTTAATATAATTCAAAGATAAAAAAATTATTTGATATATTAATACTGAAATTTTTTAATTTTACAAACGGGTTAACATTGTGATATATGTTTTTTTTAAATTAAAATTTTTTAAATATATTCTAAAAGATTTATATCATTATTAACCTGGCTCGTAGAATTAAAAAACTATATTATCCATATATTTAATAATTTTGCAAAATATTACTATTTACATTTAATCCATTATTTTCATCAAATTAAAATATTTTATATTTAATTAAATATTATTTAATTACAATTTTTTTAAAAAATTGTATTTAATGCACTACAAGTTACCAAATAAAAAAATTTAATTACTCCATCTATCCTTTTTTTTTTTGTCTATATTTTCGTTTTGGGATATCTCAAAATTATATCCTTTTTTTTAACATAAAAAACTCTTAATTTTTATATATTTAAATTATTTTTATGACTTTTTACTTTTTAATATTAAAAATTATGAAACTTTAATTTTGTAAAAAAATTTAAATTTTAATATTAATATATTAAAATCATTTTTTTTATTTTGTAAAATTTAATAAATGCAAATATTTTATGAGAGAGGAAGCACATTTTTCTTTTCTTGATAAGAATCATTAGACAATTCAAAAATAATAATAATAATAATAAAAGAAGTGAAGGAGGAGACATTGATTACCCGGGAGAAGAAAACGTAAAGGCAAGCGACTTTCAAGTAGATGAATGCAATCCTGATGGGAGTAAATAGCCGATGCTTAAACCAGCTTTGCAAAACTTTTTCTCTGCTTTCCAATGTCAAGCAAGAGAAGCAGTTGACGTACGGCCATTTATCACCCAAACAAAGTGATCCACAAAGTAAAAGGGTTCCCACCCTTGTGGACAGTAAAAGTAGTACAACTCTTACCAACATCGCACACTCAATGAACGATCTTTTGAGCAGCAACTCCGCAGCCTGAAATATGTCTGACATCAGAACGCATTCCAGCTTTTTATAAATATAGTTGCAACAAAACTAATGGAATTGCTTCATCTGCCCCTTTGAGTCTGATGGTGTTACCATAATTATAATAATTATACAGATTAGAGGCTAAATATGTGAGATTATGATACTGTTAGGATACTAATAACTTGATTTTCTCAAATTATTAAGTTCTAATTTAATATTGTTGTTAAGATTGGAAAAAATTTTGAATTGAAAAAGATACATTTAAAATTTATGATTATGTAAAAAAGTACTGCAAATAATTAAAATATCTAAAAAATATATTTATAAAATAATAAAATATTAAAAATATACAAATAATATAAAATTTTTCTCTCTAAACTTATTCATTGTCGAGCTATCCATTTAAACCGAAGATCCATTTAAATTTGAGAGAATTTAAACAAAAAATTAAAGTTCGTTAAACAAGTTTAAACATAATTTTTAATTTTATTAAAATTTCAAACCAAATTTTGAACAAATTATTAAAGCACAAGCTCGGAAGGACTTGAACTCACATATATATATATATGAATTATATAAAAATTAATTTATATATATTTAAATTTAATAAAATATATATAATTTTTTATTTTAATTTTTATGTATATAATTTTTATTTTTAACTTTATATATATGAATTAAATATAATCTTATTAAATTTAATTTAATTATTTTTAATTTTTTATTATATAAATTAAATTTAATAGGTGTGTTTAAGGCTTATATTTTTAATTTGAATCAAATTTAAAAAAATTTTGAGACTTTAAATTTATAATCAGATCAAATCTAAATAAATATATAAATTATTAATATCAAATATGAGTCTTATCAAAATTCAACTTGATTCGATCATGAATATTTTTATTTCTCTCCCAAACATATTTTTTTTCATCCAAAACCATCTCTGGAAAATTTTTGAATTGGATATGAAAACTAAAATATCAGATGAAAGACTATATGTTTAACATTAAAATTGGATAAAAAACACTGTTGAATACAAAAATTACTTTCAACCACGATGTTAAACCAGACGTAAGAACATTTTAGTGTATACTTTACTCCGTTTTATAAATACTTTAATAATTCAGAGTAAAAACTTCTTTTATGAAAAAAAAAATTAAAAAATAAGAATGTTTGAATGCTGTGGTTGAGTCCAAATTATTGAATATCCCAACACTAATCATCTGCTGAGAAGACCCGACTCACAAGCAGAACAAGAACAATTAGACACATGTTTATCCAGGTGTTTACACGTGTATAAACATGCCTGTGCATGTGGCAACACTGAAAAACGAGGAAAAAAATGTTTTTGAAACTCTTTTTTACCTCGTCTGGAATTGGGGATTCAGAGGCTGAAGCTTCCAGGAAGGCTTGAACGGCCTTGCTTGGCTGGTTTTCCTTTCCTTCAAAATCAGAATTTGGTGACAAAGAAGGGAACACAGCTTCAGCTACGCTAGCCAGTGTCTTTATCTCAGCTGAAGAAAACCCATGACTGTATTTACGCTTTCCTCCCTCTCTTATTTCTCCATTTAACAAAGGTTGCTGCTGGCACTTTCCTCCCATTTCTCCTCTCTCTCTCTGAAACACTATGATTTTCTTCAGTTTCTGGAACCCTTTATATAGGCGAAAGTGGAAACAAGGTGGGTTATCTCTGGGCGTTCGATACCAGGAGAGAGTTTAATTAACTGCACCGTAATATGAAAATTACAGTTCTATAAAAAAAATAAAAAAAATAATGCAAAAAAAAAGGCCCATTTTTCTTGTCGCAAATCATTAAAACTTAGCCTACGTGCCCCATTCAAAAACCACAATAGGAGCAAAATAATTTTTAATATTTTAATATTATATCAATATTATTAAAAAAAATAAGTTTTTCAAAACAAAATTAAATAATAAAATACATAAAAGTTTGCTAACGAATGACACCATAACCACCAAATTACTTGTCATTTTAATGTTACCCTTTTCCCTTGTGGAACATTTTTGTAGCCAGCAAAGCTGCAACGCAAGGAGCTTTACTGATCAGAGGAATCTACATATATGCATATCCGATTCTTGAGATGCATGGATTCATAATGAATGAATCAATGAATCCAAAATTGATTTTATGATATTTTAAAAAGTAATATTTAATAAATTTATAATTATTTTTCTTATTTTAAGCTACAATAACAATTCAACATTTTATTGATAAATTACACTATTGTTAATTTGTTGCCGAAATATATGCCAATTATGCTTACTCAGAAAATGTGGATCCACATTGTTAGATAGTCGTGCAATTAATTCTAATTCATTGTAATGACCCCAATTTATTGTACTTGCTTGTTAGTTGTTACCTACTTCAATGGGTTTGGATAGAATTTTACCCATTTTTTCTGCAATTCTCCGGGGGATAGCCAGGGGTCCACTCGTTTTGGTCAGCAATGAGCCTTTCTTGGTCAGTTTCAACTTTAGATTTTTCAGGAAGATCAGTAATTCCATTGTTAAAGAACCAATAATGGATAGAACTCAACTTTGATTTAGCAGTTATTATCTATCTTTAATGACAATCTTATATAAATATATAAAAGCCAAAACCTCTAATAATAAAGAAATAATTTTATGTAGATAGTTTACATTTTCAACATGTGGATAATTTACAAAATTAATATGTGTTCTATAATAAATGTGTTTTAATAATTAAAAAAACTAAATTAAATAAATTTATTTTTATTTGTCTTAAATCATTATCAATTAAATTTATATAAAAAAAAAGTAATAAAAGGTTAATTACCATCATTAATATATAGAATATTTTTGTTAAGATATTTTTCAATTATAAATATTCAACTTTGAATTATATTTTTATAAAAAATATTCATTTTCCAATATTCAATTCTACTTTTTGAGATAGGAATAGATTTTCATTGTTAATTCACCATTTTTTGCATTGACATTTCAACTAATGAATGTAATTTTGATATTTAATAAGGTAATCTACAACCTAAATAAATATGTAAATCATTTAATATTAAGAATTCAAATAAAAATAAAAGTTTAATTATTTTTAAGCATATTTTTTGTTATATACTATATAGATGTCATTTTTTAGGAATTATACTACAATAAATTAATTACCATATAAAAAATCTTAATTTGAAGGCATAATTTACTTCTAATTAAAGTTTTTAAAATATAAAATTAAAACTTTTCAAAATAAAAGCTAAAAACATGCTAATAATTAAATAACCTGTTATAATTGATTTGCTCAAATTACTCGAAATGTTACGAAAGTTTTCCTATTATAAATAAAAAATCATCTTATACTAATAAGATTGCTCAAAAGTTCATCAAAACGCTTCAATGCATTTGATTATTTAAAAGTTCACCAAAACCTTCCAAATGCATTTGTGTAGTTGTGATTAGGTAAATCTCTACTCAAAAAATTTCATTGAATCTTTTATACAACAACCAATAATTTTTATTTTTAGTTATTTTTAATTTGATTTAGTTTTTCTGTTAACAATAAAAATGTATTGCTTTTACATTAAGTAATGTTTCTTTTTTCTTTACCTTTTTCAATCAATAAATGTTTTTACTTTATCATATTTGGTATTACTTCTCTTTTGTTTATTTTTTATCCGCATTCAATTAAACTCCATTTCTTATTTATTCATTCTTAATGATCTTAAGTCATTTTATTTTTCTATTAGCTTGAATTTCATACTGACATGAATCTCTCTTTGATTTCAAAATATTGTATCTAAAATTTTTATAATACAATAAGATAAAAATCTCACATTTCATGAAACAGAGAAGAAAACATATATATATTTTTTTACTTTCGCTTTAAGATTTTACCTTTCATTTGTAGTTTCTTCAAATCTCTTGTTTATTTACGTTTAATATATATGATTTTATTCTATTATATATATATATATATATTTGTTTAATTTGCTTTGCATGAATGAATCAACAGCATAATATTTTTTTGATACAACAGCATAAATTTTAAATTAATTGCTTTCACTTATGCTATGAAAGAATGCCTTTTGTCAACGATTTTATCATGATCAACTATTTGGTCATCGTTAATTCAATTGCTATTGAATAACAAAATTAAATAAGAAATACGTGTGTGTGCGCGCGCTTAATGTGCATTTTCTAATACATGCATTCTTGTTTGATGATTTAAAAATTTTAAAACTAATAACTTAGACAATTTTGCTATTTAGTATCTAACATGATACAAACCAATAATTAAATATATTTTATTATTAATGGAAATTGTTAAAAGACAAAAGTAACTCTTTATTTTCAATTTTATTATACATAACACTATAAATTATACAAGTTTTAAGGTAAGTGATATACTTATTTTCACCAAATAATTCAAAAACATTGATTCAATATAATTTTATATTCAACATTTTGTCATGCACTTTCTTTCTTTTTTTTACTATATTTGTATTTTAATTTTTATATTTCAATTTATGTAATTGCACGTATTAAAAATATATTGCCAAATAAGTGTCAAAACAATTTCTTTTTCGTATCTAGCTAAATTCTATTAAATTTGTTAAAATTTCATATTAGAATTTATAAAAAAAGTCAATAAAAAATTATATCTAAAAATATTTTGGAAAATTTTTCTAATTTTGAATAAAACAATGAAATCTTACAATAAATAATTGATTTTTGTTTCCAATGATTTTTTTTCTTGTAACCGTATCTTGACTTAAAACGTGTCAATGATTTTCTTAATTAAGTCAATCAAATACTAGTTTTGATTGAAAGTTCACTAATCAAATAAATATGGTATTTATTTTAATACATAACAATTGTTTTACTTTGATTTCTTTTGAAAATTTATGTGTTGTATTTTTAGAGATAAAAAGTAAGATAATTCAATTATATATATTAAATTATAAATTTATGATAAAGATGAAATAAGTATAAATATTAAATTACTAATTTATAGATATCAATAGGTTAAGTTCTCCTAAGTATACCTTTATATATATATATATATATTTATATAGGAGAGGAATCAAGTTACATAAAAAAAGTTTTATATCTTTTTACATTTTTTTTATGATAATTGATTTTTCAGTAGGTTCAAGAGATAAGAGATATAAATAAAAAAAGGTTTAATTTTATCCTTTTAATCTATTAAAATCAATACTTAAAAAAAGTCTAAAACAAAAAAATTTATATTGGTGTAAATTGATCCCTTTTCATATATATATATATATATACACACACATACCACCCATATTATAAAATGAGATTTCTAACATTATATATTATTATGAAAATACAATTTCTTATCAAAATTATAAATATATTATCTTTTAAAATAAAATTTTTATGTTTAATAAATAATCTTTTTACTTTTTAAATAGTAATATATGTAAAAAAATATAATTGATTTATTTTTCGGTGCATAACACGGGCATATATCTAATTAAGCTTAATAATTAAGATTATAAGTTCATATCTCTTTTTGAATCTTTCAATGCATATGTTAAGGACATTTGATGATTAAAAAGATATAGTGTGGTCATTTTTCCTTTTAGCAGCCTTTAGCAAACAACTAGAGGTATTTATGTCATTTGTACCAACCTGATATGTTAGGTCGGTTTGACATGCTTAGTGCCACATCAATTCAGCATTGTCGTTATTATCCCATGATGGTCCCTTACAGCATACCTATAAATATAAAGGTCCAAACACCATTAAGGCAGGTTGATCCTACTCTCTTTCTTTCCTTCCTATATTCTTTTCAACTTAAATCTTTTTGACTTGTGCGTTAGAGTGTAAACGCAAGGAACATACCCCACATTTATCTCTAATTGCCTTTCTTTTTTGCATTTTTAAGAAAACCCTGAGTTAGACCTCAACACCAACATTTGGCACACTAGGTAGGCATTATTTTCTTTCATTAGCTAAGCATAAAACAATGCCGCTAAGGAAGAGAACCTTAGAGGAAGGGAAAACAGCCATCCCAATTAGAATAGAAACCTATCATAATCAGCATTCTGTCTTACTAGCCCAACCATAGACGAGCCTGACTGTGGAACAATTCTAAGCCTTTATCGAATAGATAAAGCTCTCAAGCAGATGTTACAAACCATAATCCCACCCCTAAGTTTCAAAAGTGCTTGACTTAATCACTCCCAGCCAATAAGCCACTGTTAGACAACTAAGCTATGAAGAGGTAAAAGCTTCTTTGGCCTCCAAAGAAAAGGAGCATACAACCCCAACCTACCATTACCTAAGCCACATTTCAACACAAGCTAGACCCAAAAATCCAAACAAACAAATTTCAAACCCTAACCGAACAGAGATTTAAAAACTCAGATATAGGTCATGAAAAAAGAGCTAAAACGAAAGCAATAGTTTTTTAAGATGAGTTCAAGTTCTTGGAGACCTCATCCTTCACCGAAAAAATTGACAAAGCCATGCCTCCCAAAGGATTTAATATGCCAACCTTGAAAACCTATAATGGTACTTCTGACCCCTTCAATCATTTAAAACTTTATAAAACTAACATGATGATGTAAAGGGCAAATAAGGCTTT